TGGGCTTCATCTTGAGAAGAAGCCCATCTCAAAAAGAAGCCCCCTCCCCCAATTTTTCTGAGTTTGCAAAAGTAATCTCGAAAAGAAGCCATGGGCCTCTAATCAAGATAGATAGACTTCTTTTTGAGATAGTTTATATTGTAAATGAAATATCGAAGACATTTAAACAATTAAAAAAATTTTAGTTCATGTAAACTCAGTTAATATAGCATTATATTATGTGACACAGACTGACGTTGTCTTTGACGATTATGATAGCGTGTCAGTATCAATTATTATTGTAGCATTGTTAAAATTAAGTTCCTGCTCGGCTACAATCGAAACGATACGGAGCTTAGTCAACATGACTTCAGCAATTCCATTTATAGAATCCGTTTAATGGAGAAAGTGTATCTTTTTAACATGGTTGCCTAAATTTAAGCTAACTTCTGGTATATAAATTCATTAGAAGATTTGAAATTGTTAATATAATTAATACGATGTACAATACATAGGCCTATCATTTGTTATTTTATGGTAATAAATTATATTAAAAGCTTGATTTTTATTATATAATTTATACAGTATGTACATAGGCTTGTTTAGTTTTCCAATATTGTTGTCGGTATGTTTTGATCATCTGTTTAATTTTAAAATTAGCCTATATTTTTATTCCTGTGAGTTTTAATAAATATCGAATTCCACGCTATAGTATCTTCACAGTTTTATATTAGCAATCCCACATATATACATCACTAATTTTGAAAAGACCCCTCTTTAGTTTGCAAAAATAAACCCATCCAAGGGTCGCAACAAAACAAGAAACCCAGGGCTTCTATTAGAGGTTTTACGGTATTTCATCTTTGATTTTCAAAAGGAACCGGCAAACTTTGTAAACGATAGAGGGCGGCATATGGCTAAATTCATCATACATTATAATTGCACATCAATTTTTCAAATATTTTTGTAATAAAGCGGGTGCAAACAATTTTAAATATTTTAAGTTTTATTTTGGAAAGTGGTTTTTGTTTTTTTGTTTTGTGTTGTTTGTTTTTGTATACTAGGGCCTATATCAGAGGATAGCTTTAAGGTAAATTCTCTGCTAGAATAATGACGACGTCCAAAACAGTTTCTCTTATGACCACAGAGACTTAAACTGTGCTTTTAGACCACAAATATTAGGGATTATTAATTAAACTTTGTTTGGATTGGCAAATTAATATTTCCAGTATTAGTATTTTCTTATTTATTATAAGCTGATATGAGGAAATAATAGTTTGCCGCCCTCTATTATGACTTACGTTTAATAAGTTACACGGTAGTGCTACGTTATTTGCCTGAAGAATGAAGATACTTCTTCACGTTTTTTTTTTTTCAGTGACAAACTAGCTTTGGTCCAGCAACACAGTAGTTCCAGTTTATAAACCTATATAGATAATAGCCTATACATATATTAGATAAATAATAACAGTGCTCGAGTAGGAACATTAGATCTCATAGTCGTATCAGGGAGATAGCCTTTCAACAAAAAGTTACTTTTTCAGTTTTATAACAAATAACCTGCAGCCTCCCGCTTGTAAGGCGAGTGCCACAAAGTTAGACCAGAAAGACCTATACGGTATAAGCGCAGTTCCAATAAAATATAGCAAATAGGTCTTCATTGTTAATGGCTATTATGTATAGGTCAACTACGAGTTAATGTACATTGGTATATGTTTTCTTTGGTGCGCTACTTAAATGGCGTAAAAATATCCAAAACCAGGTCTCAAATTGCAACAATCACTCAATTTTAACAATCGATAAAATGCAATTATAGACACGCGTATGATTTTGATCGCAGAACACTTCAATAGTTTCATTTCCAAATAACTACCAAAAAGGAGAAAAACAAGTCACAACACAATACTTATACTTGACGTCCAATGAATAATAATTTGATGAATAGGCCTATTTTTGAAATTAAGTGAAGACCAAAATGGAAACATATGAACCATGTTCCTCGGGGGTGGGGGGTTGAAGGCGGTGAGCGCGTTATACCGTAATGCTATAGCGCAAAAGATAAATTGATTGCTAGATACTGTTTTTCTCTAATCCTATTCTTGTTGTGAAGTAGCGGTAAGTTGTTTTTCTTTCTAATTGAACGCACCAAATTGTTGTGTGCCACTGAAACAAAAGTGTATGCTCAGATAATAAATAAAATCCTACTTAACGAAGACGACCAATCGAATAGAAAACTGGTAAATACTCGACAAAACAAAATGACTGCACAGTTACCGCGATCACGCTGCGTAATCTAGGCTGCTCAGATTGTGGCAGTATGGGTTTTTCGTCAAAAAATGTTTTCATCCAGTTTAATTTTTGAATTCTGTTAGCCTACGATTATTTTTTAGCTCCTATGTGGGTATATATTATAATATTTATTTTCTGAAATTTAATCTAAATTACTGTATATTAACGCAAATGTTGTTGCTAAACTGACCAATCGGCCATATTTTTCTAGTCACGTACATAACTTAACGCTGATTAACGCATTCTGGTTACGTTAATTTTCGTTGTCAACGAAGTCAATTTTACGAACCAGTCGAATAAAAATAATACTCAAGGAAAATTCGTACTCAACGAAATGAACCAGTCGAATAAGCCCATAAATACTCATTTAGTATTTCTCTTTTAGCCTTATAATTCAAACAAATTAAATCCAATCCAGTCGCTATGACCTGTCCCAGACTGAAGGCTTGGTAAGTAAAATCATTGAATTTTCATATGAAATTTATCATAGGTTTGAGATGCTTTCAACCGACACTGTATAATTAATACAATATATGAATAGTTACTTTTATGGGCCCCTGCCACTATATCTTCACAACCTATTATAATAATAGTAACATGTATAAAGTTTGTATTATGATTATGGATTGTTCCCATTAAAACAGGATGTTTAATTTTTGTTGGACTTTCAATAAAACATGTTTGGTGATGATTTAAGCAGTGATGGTTTGTTTGTGTTTGTTTTATGTAGTTACTAATCATAATGCAGGGCCTGCCGAATGTTTTTCAAAGCGGAGGGCCCACCATTAGTAAGATGAATGGGAATATAAATCAGGGGTGATCTGGGTTCAAGTTTAGAGGGTTGAGTCAAATTTGTTTTCCAAAAAAACCCCAAAAAGGAAGGGGTCAGGGGCTCCTCCCCCGGGTAATTTTGATTCCTAGGTGGCGGAAAATGAGATTTCCCGACTTTGAGCTGGTGACTTTTAATGACTTTCAAGTTCTTCAAAATTGATGGTGTCCCCCTTTTCAAAATTCGGTCAGGCAAACTTTCTCATTCTTATTACAGTAAATAGGCTTGTTATGTGTGTATACATACTTTTAAAAAGATTGAGTAGTTGCATACGTATTATTTTTTCCATGAATCGATAAACCCCAAAGAAAAAAGGGGGTCCGGGGTTCTCCCCGGGAAAATTTTGATTCCTACCGGGCGGGAAATGAGCTTTTCCGACTTTTGAGGTGTCTTTTAATGACTAAAATAGTAATTAGGCCTTATCCTGTGTGTACACAAATACATACATAAAAAAAATGAGTAGTTGCATACGTAGGCCTATTCTTTTTTTTTTGACATGAATCGATAATTATGGGTTGTGTTTTAGCTTTAGTTCGACGGCCCCCTATTTACAAGCTCCCTAGAGTTTCTTGGAGGTCCATTTCATCTTTTTAGTATCCTTGAATTTGTTATCGTTTTTTCGAAATTTTTTGATGAATAAAGGAATTTGATTGATTGATTGTGCCATGGATAAAACGGTAAATGTGATTTAGGTTATTGTAAAGAGTTCTACAGCCCAGAGATATATCAACACCTGGTGTTAAACAGTCAAAATGAAACAAACCTGTACATTATGTAGACTACTGCAGATCATGCATACGTGTGTGGGTTTATTATTTACAAGGCATCCAATATGTCCAATAATATAAAAACAAAACATATGTAATGAACTTATTGCCACTTAAATACCATGAAGATAAAACAATATCACCAGCTCTGATGATAATCATAATAATTATAATAATCATAACCATAATAACATTAGAAATATTTTCATTATTATTACATATTCTATATTATCAACAATATATTTAGTCTTGAATTGAGTTACTGATGGTATAGAAAAAAGTAAAAATATTTGCTTTGTACTTTTCTATTATTTCCTGAGCTGATAAATACATTTGGTTGAAATATTCCATATAAAGCTGAACCGCAATTCAGATCACATGTTCTTGAATTTAAACATCCAAAAATGCAAAGAAATGTTCCTGTAGAGCACTTTCAACAATAAAATCGTCTCAAGGCACTGACAGTGTTCAGACCACAAATCATGCAAAAAAATACAAAAACAAACAAAAATTCTGATAATGAAATGAGACGATGGCCAAAATTACATAAATTGACATTTATTTTTTTAGATTATAAAGGTAAATTTAAAGAACTTAATTTGGGAAACATGAATTAATGTATGGTGATATGAATCATCTTCGGTTGTAGGTTGGTTCCAGAACACGCACCTTCATACAAAATAAATTTACAGACTGTACACCACTGACAGTCAATCTAGGTAGGTGTACAGTAGCTAATAACTGTCTACAACGTAAATTTATGAAACTGACAAAAAATTGTCCAGAGGTATGCATTTGCTAATATTTGCATAATCAACAGGTGGGCAGTTTTATAGACAAACGGACACAATTTTAATAACAAGAAAATGCAAGTTCTAGGTAAAGGATCACAGATCAATAATAATATAATAAAAATAATAAAACACATATAGCTATATATTCTTTTTTCTACTTTCATTTTTGATATACAGTATATTACACAATTTACACACTGTGTTTGGTGGTTTGACTGAGGTAGATTGCTCTCTTTTTCACTCAAAAATATTTAATTGTCAAACATTTCCATGATCATCGGTGGGATTCCTTGAGGGCAGTCTAATGTAAGTGACATGACTTTCTCTGCATGTCGAGCACTAATGGTCCGTAGGTCAGTAACCTGTTATTGAACAAAGACGAGATTACATGTTATATAGTTACTTTGTATGTTTCTGCATTGAAAAATGAGCCAAAGTTGTATTAACATCATCATGCTTATGACCCTCACTCATCTTGTTTACAACAATGGTGTAAATGTATTTGACCCTGGGACTGGATTTTCAGGCTGATATGGTCTGGTAAGGACAAGGATAAAGCCTTGATGTGAAGAACAGGTTAACCTTCAAATAGAAAACGCAAAACTAGCTTTCATGACTACATCCAGGCTCACCTGCATCTTAAAATCCTGGAAATGGCAGAGAGTTATAAAATACTGTATTTGATTTGGCACATATTAACATAGTGTAGTCGACATTTAATCTTGTTTTGGTTGCAGCATACAGTATTAAATAATACAAATTTGTAAAACAATTAATGTACCGTAATCTTAAAATTCCATATGGTCTGTAGGTCTGAATGTCAACAATTCTCACTCACTTAAGGCCAAATAAAAAAAGTTACTAGTTTCTCATCCCCTCACGCATCCATTCTCTGCCTAACCAAATTTATTGAAAGAAAAAAAAAGCACTCATCCTCCTTTTTTCAAAATATTAGGATGAGAAAATACTTTTCTTTTTAACTTGGACTATTAAAATAACAACAATGGCAACAGGAACAAGGACAACAATGAGAATATTAACATAAGTAGTGAATCATGTATAATACAATAGTATATTTACCTTCATGAGTATTTTTGCCCAGTGAACTGGCGTCTTGGGCCGTGACTGATTGATGTAATGCTGAAAAGCTGTCAACAACTGATCTTGAAGGACTTCAACAGATTTGGGGTTTATCAAACCTGGACGATCTGAAAACAAAGAAAAAGTTTGAATAAACATCTCTGATTAACATTTAAACTTGGTTAATTTCTGTTTACATTGTTGGTACTCCACCCACTAAACTACCAGACCAACTAGTAGGTTTCTTTTCTTCTCAGTAGGCATAAGTAAATCTCCAAGCATTTTATATTGTAACCATAGAACAGGCCCATAACTAGGATTTTTTTGGGGGGTTCAAATTTGGAAAAAGTGGAGCCTTTTGAAGATGTTAACAACCAACCAATTGTGCTGACCACATAAATAAGAGTTCCATCTTGAAACTTGTATTAAAAGTTGCTACTGTCTATTTTTTTTTTTTATTTTTTTTTTTAGGTTTAAGCAATCTTCTTTCGAGATTTTTTTTTTTTGCCATCCAAGTGGAGCCAGCTAGCAAACGGCGGGGTTTGTCCGAACCCCCACCCCCTGGTTACAGGCCTGTAGAAACATTAAAGGCACATCGTTACCTCCTGCAACTAACAAAACAGCTGAAAGCAGAGCAACTTCTGTGTCCGTGAGATCAAGCCTGGACAAACCAACGGCAAAATCAAATATAGGTTCAAGCAGTTCCGCAAGCATTCCGCCTTTAAGTTGCGACTTTTCAACGGCTATACCATTAGACATTTGAAGTGTGTTGGTATTGGGGTCATACTTTTGAGCTATCCTCATACACATGATTTCTATGCAGCAAGACTTGAGTAAAACGACCTGGTCTGCATGTGCAAGCTACAATACAATGAAGAATAACAATAAGTAGGATAATTGGCTGGCAATGAATTAACAATGGGAATGTAATTATATGATTTAATTCATCAATATTAATTAGTTAATGTTGTAGGCCTAAATATATTTTAGAGTTTCTGAAATAGAGGATAATGTCAATTGGAAAATATATTAAGAATGATTAACTTCTGAAAATGTATCTTAACATATGTAGTACAAGAAATAATTGAATAAAGGCAAATTACCATAGCAAAACCTGGAATCCTCTTGGCAAATTCCACAATATTCACAATGGAAGGAGTCATGATTTCAGCTATATTGAATAAGTCTTGCATCTTTGGTTTCTGGACATGCGGAATACCATCATCTGGAAAGGCTTCTGAAAGAGCTCCCTTAACTGTTGATGTATCATTACCAACACACAAGCCATTCTTTCCATGTAGAGAAAATGCAAATGCATCAAGTTGAGGTTTTATAGGGCAATAATCAATTAATGTAGTATATGATTGCATGTGCTAATTTATCGTGTAAGCCCACATAAATCGCACCAACTACAATGGACATGTAAACACCCTGAACACGAAAACAAGGTTAATGACTATCCTGTACCTGTGGCATCTAGAGGTGGAATTTCAACACCTTCACAACATGATTATACTGTATGAAGGTATAAACCAAGCCCAAAACACATTAAGTAATCTGTTAAAAGTTAAGAATATTTGCAAAAAATGGAAACGTTTTTAGTTCAATTATAGGTTCCGAAAAGAACTGTTTTAACTGTGTGCGAATATCTTGACTTCTGTATAGATTGCTCTATTTGTCTTCAGGAGAAATGAATCATCTCTCACTCTTTCTCCTAAGGGTAAATAGAGCAATCAATACTAAACAATTGGGGTTTTTCAGGAATATTAAGAAGGCAGCTTATCAAAGTTGTCTAAACCTGGTGTAGCCACTGTGAGTGTGCTGAACTGTTGAGGTTGTTTCAAACTTATGATCTCTGGTTCCCAACAGGACTTTCAAGAAAGAAGTTTACTTACTTTTGAGGTTTTTAAACTTAATTTGGGTGAAAACTGGCATGTTTCACGATGAGACTGGGCAATGATATTTATTAGTTCTGTTTCTTGTGGAGTGAGTTGGTTAAGTAACACAGGACCTCTTATCATACCCTCCTGATGACGTCGTTCTCGATTATCTTGTATTAGTCTTCGTTTTGCCTTTCTTTGGTGTTCATTTAAGACCACTGTTTAAAAGAATTAGTTAAGTTAAAACAAATGAAGAAGGGTTGAACATGCAAATTTCTCTTCATAATATCAATATATAAATTTGTTTCCCATATTTGAAAACACTTACAATCCGGAGCCATTCCAGTTTGTAGACATTTCTTGTAGCGGCATTGCTGACATTGGTTCCTTGTGGATTTGTCAATTTCACATTTCTCATTCCACTTACAATAATATGCAAGATTCTTCTGAATGGTTCTCCGGAAGAAACCCTAAGCAAAAGTATCACTCTGGTTAAATTTCACAGTTCAAATTCCTAAAACATCCACATGCAGATATAGAAGATTTTAATGTAAATAAAGTCAATTGGCTAATACAGTATTAGAAACATCTAATATTGCACTAAATTTTATTATTATAAATATAAATTATATTTTATAAACCAATCAATATTTTTAAATATGTTCAGCTTCTATCACAAAGCACATTAATAGATTTTTTAATTTTTCATATTTAAAAATCCCACTGTGTTGAATTATTGTTTTTTTAAATAAATTTGTGGCTGAGAGCTTAGAAAATCGTTTCAAGTTTTTTACCTTTTTCATTGTACTAATAATAATGTTTTTAAAATTTTTTCTAGTTTAAATGAATAAAGTATTAATGCAGGCCTAGTATTTACCTTACAGCCTTCGCAGGTCATGCAACGATAGTGATAGCCTGTGGCAGCATCTCCGCATACAACGCATGGTTCAGGTCCATTTGAAAGGTCCATGTAGCTGGGAACATACGGTGTCCCTGAAAATAATTTTATACATATGGATAGAAATACCCTGAGTATGGTCAGGGTGGCTCCAGTCGTTTGCCGACTGGGGGAGTCCAACTAGTCTGACACAGGTTCTTTTGTCCCCTGGATCCCCCGCTAGCGCTGCCCCTGATATTTCAATTTTTAAAATGCATAGCTGTATCCATGGAGGAAAGTGTATAGCCGGATACTCAATGCATCGACGACCGTTACACGACCAATCCACATTTGCTTTCGGCGAGCGATAGGCGACACAACGCCGTCTGCTGATTGTCAGTGCAATCTGAACGGATCCTCATTATAAAGACGATCCATTGGGTCCGCTTCTTCTCGTGCATTTTTCGTCGCGTCGCCGTCGCACGCAGTGAGTAACCGGTGTTAACACGTCTGGCTTACAAAAACTACTACTCTAATTATAAGCCTAATTCAGGAACAAAAGTTAATTTTGCTGATGACCTCATTAAAGACTATATTTTCAATAAGTATTATGATTTGATTGGCCACGGGCATTGAGAATCATTCTTCTCATTATCTTGTAATAAGTCAATACATACAGTAGTTAGAAATGTACATGCTCATTTCAAGCTCAATCGACATAAATACAATAAGCACAACATAGGTTTATGTCGACTGATCTTGGATACCACCGAATACGCACATGCACAGTTAAAACCATGAATTGGCTCATTACATAATGATTCTCTGTTGAGAAAGTGTAATACATACTCCAAGTATTGAAGTACACGCCATTGTGTTCGGATTCAATATTTCGACATTAATTAAGTCATCATCAGGATTCTCTGTTGAGTCTCTCTTTTAACTGCTATTTGAAGCCATGGTGTGAACAATTTAAATGGTAAATACGGTCATTAGTATTCTGGTAAAGGAAGGTCTCATTAACACAATCATATTGATTTCCATCATTCACTATCATCATTGCACTAGTTAGCATTTTTCAAACTATCCACAATTTCTTTTCTTCTTTCTCATACTCTTTCTTTTAATATCTTCCTTCTAAAATACAAAAAAAAATTCCTACATTTGACCTTATCAAATTTTTTCTGTTGTTTCTTTGTCTAATAAAATGATTTCTTTCGTTTTATTTTTAATATATAATTTATGAAAAATGTTTTCAATCCAAATATTCAAAATGTCCATTTTCAATCAATCAACAAAATAATGTGTAATATTGATTTCATTTCATTTATTTAGTCCCAAAGAACAATAGAACTGACAAAAAAAAGGCCGAAATTTGGGCCGATCGAGACAACAATGACCTAGGGGGTCCGGGGGCATGCCCCCGCGAAATTTTTGTGTTCTAGACGCCTGAAAATAACATTTGAGGCGTTGTGGGCTATCATTTTTTTCCTTTTCTTTCTTTTTTTCTTTTTTTTCCCTCCCAAAAGGGGGGGCCGGGGCCGGGCCGGCCCCCCCCCTAAATCCGCCCCTGATATACAATATTTAATTAATGTGAATTGTTCAAGGGATGACATAAAACCTCTAGCTTATTAAAAATGTTTCTGATACTACTGTAACTGTTACACTGGTAAGCACAATGTTGTTTCATCAGGTTCTAATCTCTCTTGTAATCCCTTCTTAAAAAGGAACATAACACAAGGACATTTAATATTAAGAATTAAATTAAACTACTGTATAATAAAATGTATTTGAGATTTTATTATACAATACTTACTTAATATTTAGAATTAAGTAAGTACTGTACTGTAATTGTATAATAAAATCTCAAATACATTGTATCACACATTATACTTTTTTGTATAAGATTAAGAACCGGTAGAATTTTGCCCAGGCTCAGTATTCTTATTTTATTTGAAAATTTCAGGCTCAAAATGTTCTTATTTTGTTCTTCTTTTTGTTATTCTAATATTGTACAGCAGTATATTACTGTACTGTATTATATATAGTTTTTTTATATAAAAAAATTCATTTGACATTTTACCTCAGCCTCTGTGTTCTTATAAAATGTATTCTTATATATATAAAAAAAAGTGTATATTGATTCTTCTTATATATCACTGTCCTTCTAGTAGGTGACAATCCCTTACACAAGACAAATATACACATACAATGCTTTACACAAACTAAATCTCAATATGATGATTAGGGAGTGGAGTTGTTTTGGTCGTTTGAAGAAATCCTGCAACACTGACAGGAATTGAACCCAGGACCATAGGATTGGAAGGCAAATCCACTCCATTAATTTGTATTAACAATTATTATTAAGACTCAGCCTCCTTTGATTCATATTTCGACCACTATGAAAATTAGTACATTTACTGTATACCAATTAATTATTACAAATAATATCAGGGTGGTGATTGTTTAAGTTTTTTGTAAGGTATTCAAACTATAACTAATTAATTACTAACTACAGTAATTAATCTATTTTTAATTTCATTTCATTTCATTTATTTTGTCTAATTTGAACACACAAAAATGTTTCAAACTCGGGAAGACAGGATAACCAAGAGTATACTAAAATACTGCCAAGTGGCTCTCCAAACCGAAAGAGAAACAGGAATAAAAAAGAAACATAAAATAGGAAAAATTACTCTAAAATTAATAGATTAAAATCAAAAAGCACAGAACAGACATTCTTATTTATTTACTTACTTTTTTTTGTGATTTGTTTTCCTGTAAGTGTCTCTTTATGTGGGATAGGAACAGTTTAAGGTTGTTGAGAAACATATTACTTATCATAGAGGGTAGAGAATCCCAAAGTCTAGGAAATAGATTAAAAACCGTATATTTAAAGCAATTAGTTCTAGCATGGAGGTATAATGAGTGCTTGAACTTAAGGTTATCAGTATGGCGAGTATTAATTTTAACTAAAGAGTGTGAGTCGATGCGATTCACACCATAGAGACACTTACAGACAAAAGAAATGGCAAGAAAATTAAATCTTTTTTCAAGAGAAACAAATTTTAGTAAATTAATAAGGTACAGTATATGCAAACTGTTTTCAAGGCTCTAGGACAGTAGACACTGCAGCTTGTCTTTCACCTGATATGCACTTTAAAGTCTTGTTCACCATAATGGAAGGACAGCCCTCTGGTTACTGACCTTGCCAAGTCATAAAAGGATATTATGTAATCTTACATAACTGGAAAGCCTCCCTTCCTAATTGGAAAGAACCTTCATAAACCATGAAATTACTGTACATCACATGTGGAATTATGGAAAGATTCAAGTGGGGCAGGGGAAAAGTGGCCCAGGCTCCCAAATTTGTTATCAAATATAAAAAATATATATGAAAAATATATATGACACAGAGAAAATTATCAAATTTAAATGTGAAGAGTACATTTCTCGCCATGTGTAAATGTGCCATAGCCATATATTTTGTACCTCAGCCCAAACCATGGTCGGGCTACAGAAGTCTGGACCTTCTATCTGGAAAAATCCTTTGACGGTACTTTGGATTCCTAGAAATGCCACTGTAATTCATAAGAGAACTTGTGACTATTACAATGCGAGTTTGCATCCTAAGAATTTGTGTGACAACTTAATGGTATAATTTTCATTAAATGCACTCAGAAATCAGTTGAAGCCTCAGCTTTTGTTTTTTAGATATCTAAAATTTCAGTAAATAGCACTGTGTGAGATTCTGAAATTAATTAAATAAGCCTCTAATCCTTCACCAGGGCTTCACTCCTTAGCTATGCTAAATTTTATCCATGGGCTTAGGAAACCCACGCACCAATAATAAGCTTGCTTCACCCACAAAATTCCAAAAAAAGTGTTTATAAGAAGGTTGTGTAATGGTGATGATTAATTCATTGCACAAGATAATTACTGAAGAGGTGTTGTGCAATTGTGGCCACCTTGAGAAAGGTCCCTAGCAAGGTGAAGAGCTATTAGACTATTTATACTTTGGCATTCACCCTGGTTACACCCAGAATAAGCAGACTCAGAGTGGCCTCCACATAGACCAAGGTCCCAGGCTTAATGTAAAAATATTATCTAATCTTGATTGGTCAAAGCACTAAAAAGTAACACACTGAATATACATCCTTGACACAGTAAGTACAGGCTGATTTGTGCCTTCTTAATACTGTAGTCTAACCATGGAGGAATTAGTTTGGTCAAAACAAGTGGTCTAACAATGGTGTGAGCACACCTTCATGGTTTGAAGCTACAGAGTCAGAAGACCTCGTAATCAAAGGTCTGATCTTCGATTTTTCAGCAAAACTGCGAACAATAATTATAAAGATAATATAGAAATTCATGTTGACTATTTTTTTTTTTCTTCTTTTTTTTTTTGCAAAATGTTTTATTTAAATAAATAGCATTATGTAGTTTAATTGCTGTAATGTAGTAAATTAGCAATTACAGGATACTGTAGATAATGCTTTAGACCCAATACAAAAAATTGTTAGTTTATCACCCTATCTAGGCTGGAAAAGTGATGAGAAAGGGAGCCTTTTTTTTATTTGCTAATTTAGCCAAATATCACCAAATTCAGCCAAGTATCACCACTCTTGGGTTGCTTGCTGGTGCATTGATGTTAAACTAAAATACATGATTGAGATGATATAGTACAAACAATATCTACAGTACTAATTATTTACTAAAAATATTTTTTAAAAACCCCAATTTTTTTTTTTCAAAATGATATTTTTTCCAATACCATAGAAGACATGCAGACAGGAGTGATAACCTATGATTAATTCATTGCACAAGATAATTACTGAAGAGGTGTTGTGCAATTGTGGCCACCTTGAGAAAGGTCCCTAGCAAGGTGAAGGGCTATTAGACTATTTATACTTTGGCATTCACCCTGGTTACACCCAGAATAAGCAGACTCAGAGTGGCCTCCACATAGACCAAGGTCCCAGGCTTAATGTAAAAATATTATCTAATCTTGATTGGTCAAAGCACTAAAAAGTAACACACTGAATATACATCCTTGACACAGTAAGTACAGGCTGATTTGTGCCTTCTTAATACTGTAGTCTAACCATGGAGGAATTAGTTTGGTCAAAACAAGTGGTCTAACAATGGTGTGAGCACACCTTCATGGTTTGAAGCTACAGAGTCAGAAGACCTCGTAATCAAAGGTCTGATCTTCGATTTTTCAGCAAAACTGCGAACAATAATTATAAAGATAATATAGAAATTCATGTTGACTATTTTTTTTTTTCTTCTTTTTTTTTTTGCAAAATGTTTTATTTAAATAAATAGCATTATGTAGTTTAATTGCTGTAATGTAGTAAATTAGCAATTACAGGATACTGTAGATAATGCTTTAGACCCAATACAAAAAATTGTTAGTTTATCACCCTATCTAGGCTGGAAAAGTGATGAGAAAGGGAGCCTTTTTTTTATTTGCTAATTTAGCCAAATATCACCAAATTCAGCCAAGTATCACCACTCTTGGGTTGCTTGCTGGTGCATTGATGTTAAACTAAAATACATGATTGAGATGATATAGTACAAACAATATCTACAGTACTAATTATTTACTAAAAATATTTTTTAAAAACCCCAATTTTTTTTTTTTTTTTCAAAATTATATTTTTTCTAATACCATAGAAGACATGCAGACAGGAGTGATAACCTAAATCATTATTTTTATTGGGCCTTATACACTATGCCTCTTAATGTGGAGTTGTTTGTAGTCGCGTGAAATAGTCCTGCTGGCTTTAAAATCATAATTTATTTTACTTTATATCTTCAAAATAAATATACTCTTTTAACACTAGACGAAAGACATCACAGGTAATAAATATTTTTAAAGATACAAAAATGAGACTTCTGTATAACACAATGAATACAGTATACAATAAATTATATTTATCTATGATACTGTCTCAATTTAAAGAACTTTTTGTGCCAATAATGTAGGTGATCATTTACCCAATCTAATACTATTACTACAATTGTTTCTTTTGGATTTAATTTTTAAGAAATCATATTCTATACAGAGATCAGGGTTTTGGGACTGTTTCTTTTTTTTTTTTTTTGGGATGATTGGCTATCGGAATGATTGATCAAGACATGGTAATACACACCAAAATGATATTATTAATGTCTAGAATTATTACAGTAAAATCTACAAAGTCTATAGACTGCCTATTTAAAAGTAATTTAATTACCAGTATCAGATTGCTTATTCAGACAATAGAAATTTAATAATATATCTAGACAAAATCATTCAAAATTATACTATAATTTTCTAACAACTATTATCTTTGAAGCATGTACTACTATTGAATTTTACTTACATGCACCCGTTGAATTTGTTGAATTTCGCCTCTTTTTACTTAGTAACTTTGGAAGGTGCGTTATATGTTCAGAAGGTTGGCAACCATCTACTGAATTCGATCGCAGTCTCCAGCTGGAGAAGTCAATATGGTTTTCCCAGGGATGATTTTTAAAAACACTTTCTTGATCTTCCAGTTTTGGCCTATAATTCATATTCTGATCAAACGCTTCCATTTTGATTTTGTTTTAGCAACACCAGTTGTTCATGAGACTGGACAGCTTGCGGTTGTATATTTCTATTACTATAGGTGTAATCTAGTACCAAGGCTTTTGAGAACTGTTGTCTTAACAGCAAGCTGCATCAGCTTTATGCAATCAAATGTCAATATGTCTGTCCAGGGATTTGGAATGTGAAGGGCATGAATTCAAACATTCAACCAATGGTACTTGACCATATGAAAATGACCTTATAGACATTAGCCACTACCTACGCCAGAATTTGAAATACTGTAGTCTAGACATATGACTAACAAACTCAAGGCTAGATGATGATATTATTTATTAACAATGCCTCAGCAGCATAAAAATATATATTTTAATTTAAAAGCTGAATTGTCTAATATAAACTGTATTCTGGTAATGATAAACTATCAAGCTGTTTAAAAATAAATGCTCTTGAAATAGCATGTTATAATAAGATTAGAAAATAATGAATATCCAAGCTCATTACTGTAGGATAAAAATCCAAAATGAAAACTGAACAAATACGAAAACTTTTAAACCAGGAAAAAAAAAATCAAGAGCCAAAAAACAAGAACATTTTGAGGATTCAACTGTGAACAAAGTTCAATCAAACCACACCAAAGATAAGCAATGTTGAGACTTTTTAATGCTTGGATAGGAGGCCGTCGTTGGAATAACTAGGTGCTTTGGGCTCAAGCATGGAGGTATGCTCAAGTGAGTTGAGTCGTACTGTAAAGCAGGACAACAGGGGCGCCGCTAAATGTAGCCTTAATATCATTGAGACGGGTTTAAATCTCACTCCTCACTTTGGGCTTGCTGGACCCAAGTCTTTGCCAATTAAGACTGAGGACAAAATTGGCTCGTGTGTACTTTAAGCAATTCGGCCTAGTTAAGCTGCGAGTCTCAGGTTATTCCTTTCCTTTACCTTGTGATGCTATAAAAGTTAAAAGAGTAAAATTTAAAACAAAAAAAAATCCTCACTTTATAAAAAGAGAAAATTCTGGTTGCTGATACGTAGGCCCTTATTATTATAACAGGGAATTGTTATAACAACTTTCTGATTATTGTATAACAAGACAAACACATTACATTCTGGTATGCATACATTGCGGACAAACTACAGGTTCAGATATTGTGTTCTGGTCATGCTTTAAATTTTAAAAACTGAAAACATTCAATTTCAACCATGTCTTCTTGCAACAATTACCAGTAATCTCAAACCAAGGAGGTACAGTATAAAGCTCAAAATCAAACCTTCAAGTGTACTTAATGTTCACCTGACATGGCCTAGCCCATGGTTGTGTCATCCAAGGACAATGCACAGGATGACCTGACTTGACACATTTCAAGGGTGTAGTATAACCAAGGAGGTATTTTTATACCTCCTTGGTATAACATGTTAAAACCAAGAAAAAAATTTCTGAATGATTTAAAAACTTACCATATTTATACTTGGACATTGTTGTTGTTTTTGGTTGATCTTGGTAGAGAATTTATCTTATTAAAAGTGAAAGAGATGGAGGCTCTTCAAGGGCAGTTTAGTCCACCTCTGCAGTGTCAAGTCAGTATCAGATCTGAATAATATACATGCCTATCATCAAGGCTTTGTTGCTGATAACTATAACCACTAATCAATTGATTATGGTCCTCTGAAACCTTGAAGGAAAATTATCCTATTCTCAGAAGTCAGGAAACTGATTGTACAGTATACATAGGACCTACCCACAGACAGCAGATGGGAAGAGGGGGTAATTGTATTTATAAATAGGGGATAACATATTTGTTTTTTAAATAACAACATAAAAACAACACATTATTGGAGAATCTGCTCCAGGACATAGACATGTTAATAACTGACAGTCAGACATAAAAATAAAATAATTTGATAAACTTAAAAACTCTGCAAGCTGTATTTTGACAAAAGTAGTAACTACCCTCTAGCATAATGGTTGTACCGTAGTAAATGAACTCAAACTGAGGTCAATGATGTGATTATGTAATACTTCTTTAATTCTAATCAGTTGCTTTATTCAAGATTCAAGTTACATCAACACAGCAATTGTTGTTAATAAAATTACAATGGTGAATCACAATGCTACGGAACTATTACCCTACTGCCAGCAATATTTTCCAAGTGTTACCCCAGACTTTAACATCCGAATCCAAGAAAATCCTGAACCATAAGCACACAGATTTTGATACGATCTTCTACAATTTATTGTGAGTATTATGACTAAATATTTAGACCATTTAAGAATGGACTGAATGAAGAAATTTCTGATGATGAACAAATAATGTTTGAAATAATGTTTGAAATATTGAACATAACTTTCTTCAGCATCTTTTCATACTATCAATACGTCAAACATATCAGTGAATTAAATAAACTTCTTCAAACATCCTTTGTTTTACAAAAATGTTCAAAATACACATATTTTTGTATTGTTGTGTTCTTTTACAAATGTGTTCTTTGCCTTCCTCTGCTTCTTCAACCATCCTGCAGTCATTATGTTATATTCCAAAGGGTAGCATATAAGCGTAATACAAAAGCATACAAATAGATACAAAAATATTTTTAAAATGAGGTTTAAATTTTCAGTGGAACTCAAAAGAACGAAGCTGATAAAATAAAGTAGATGCTACCAATCGTCTTCTAAAACAAATCATTGAATACTAAGGTAATTGCTTACAGCATAAGTAAGATATTGCCATTATTTCATTCTATGAATTTGATTCTGGTCACAATTATGGCTGTTCGAAATGAAAGAAATGAAGAACAACATATATAATTAATTACTTTTTAAAATTAGGCAATGTCATATTATACTGTACAGCCCAGTAGACAGCTGAATACATACAATGTAGAATTAACTACATCTTAATATTATAAAATACTTACTGAAAATGATGAAAAATGCTTTAGCTATTATTTTTTCATCTCATGTCATTTTAATTTGCTCATTTGGTTTTACTGTTTTAGATGTCTAATGTCTTGCATTTTATATTACAATATACAAATTTGACAAGCAATTAGTTTCCCTTTGTGGATCAATATGTTATCTGTCACCTACTGTAGACTGAAAATAACATTTGTTTGTAACATATTAGGCAATTTGCATTGTTTTATGACATAATCAAAAATTATGTTATTAAAATTTATCATTCCTGGTAAGTGATTTGCACAGCAGTTGAAAGATCATCAGGTAAACACCGGTTTCCATACAATGGCAGGCAGGTCCGTCCATCTATTTCAATCAATTACAGGGGAGTGAAAAAACACTGACAAATGCAAGTTATGTTTAGACTATCATAACATATTGGTATCATTTGTAGATAAGATATTCCTAATTTGGCTTTAAGACTGCTTGCTATGCAATCATACTTCCTTTTTTTTATTATTAGTAATGTTTGGTCAAATTGTAGTTCTGAAAATATTAATCGTCTTCAAATTCTCCAAAGTAGACTAGATAGAATTCTTCTTTATATTGATATATGTACACCCCTATTACTGAACTATGTTCATGTTAAATTAGAAGTGTGACTATGACAGATGGGGAAACGATATTCAAATTATGATATTTAAATGTTCTACAGGGGTCTGCCCCATTATATTTAACTAATCAATTAAAATTCATGGACACACTTCACAATCCACAAATACATTAATAATTCCAATGTGGATAAATACTCATGGGAGAACTTTCCAAAACCGAGCATCAATGCTCTGCAATGACCTTCCAGTTGATGTTAGTAAACATTTTCAAACTATTAAGCTGATTTTTAAACCTTTTAATTTCATTTGTGCACTGTATTTTAATTGTTTTTCATCTTTTATCATTTTTTTCATTTTCACATTCTTTTGTAATTTTGTTAAATCATATTTGTTACTAAATCTGAACTTCTTGGGAGACCAGTGTGCATCAATTGTATTGAAATGATCTTTCCAGAATAAACAAAGATTTGTATTGTATACAAAACCAAAAGAAATAAAGGATAGTTGTGTGTGGTGAAAAGGAGACCTGTGTGACTTATTAATGTCATAGAGAGGATTAAATATTCTAAAAAATTAAATAAGTAGTAATATTCAAACACAGAAAGCAAAGGCAAATGAGTCAAAAGGATGATAAAACTTATATGATGCCTAATACAATTTTTTTGCAAATTACCTAATTCAATATGCAAATTAGCTGATTATATATAATTTAATTAATATGCAAATAGAAATGTAAATTTTTATTTTCTAAGAAAGGGATTGTTAAGAACAGAATGATGCTCAAAGTTTTGATATGGAAATACAGTAAATTAATCTTTAATTAAAAAATTAATTTTTTAAAAAGAGAAATATAAAATGAAGGTAATCATTATACATTCATATATATTTATTTTTTTATTAGGTATATAATATAATACTTATTAAAATATTATTGTACTAGGCTCTATGTATTGGTGCTGTAAGACTACAGCAAGTGGCTGACATTTATTTTGAGTAAAGTATATTGTGCTGGAGTCTAACAGCTAAATGAATGATAAATGAAAATACTGTTTACTTGTTTAATATATTGCACAATGAGAACAAGCAAATTGTTTTTAGAACAAGAACCTTTTTTAAAGATACTTGTCATGTAACAAGTAAAAAAATTCAAAAAATTCATGTCTGTAGGCATAGCCTATCTATTACCACTGTCAAACTCAAAAAGTGTGACTTATCATTTAATGTTTTTTTTTAATTTCACATGAATACATTACTATTGAATACATATTAAATCTGATATCTATATATGGTACATTTCAAATTACCAGCCGTAAACATTAATTTGCACAAACTCAACAAAACATGCATATAACACATGCTAGCCCTCTCTCGAACAGTTACCAACCAACCAAAGTTGAATGAGTAACTAATGAAAATGTGTGTGTGTGAGTGAACTTTGGCGAGAAGCACCTTAATCAAGGGGCGAAGCCTTAAGTCTAGGTAGTTCTTTATTAAAAATATTCCGCTAGATCATTATACCAAATCATCTTGACGTAAAATGTCAACGTTCATGACTTTTTTTAATGACTGCATGATGATAAATTATGATCAAGCATTGATTTTGCAAAATGCATGTTTGTTAAATAATGGCTTTGCAATGCGAAACCATCCTGTACAGTGTGTGACAGTTGGTAACTATACCATTGGGCTGAATACCAGACTGTATAGTAAGGCCTGCTGGGGGAATACCGTATATCCTCCTCTAAAAATCTATGCTAGGCCTAGGCATCTGTTGTCAGTGTTGAGTAGGCCTAGGCCTAGTAGTAGTAGTAGTAGTAGTACTGTAGTATGAACTCGAAATTGCGCTTAGGCCTTTCTCTATAGTATTATACGTTATTTGTCGTCACTTACTTTTCTCCTACTGTAATACCATGTAGGGCCCTAGTAAAAAAAACAAAAAACTATGCCCCTAGGCTTAGGCTAGCTTGGTATGGCCTATCCCCCATTCATTATTTTTTTTCACGTTTCGTATCGAAACTCTTTCCTCTGCTGCCACCAACGACACCACACACCGCCATATCCATGCCATATCGCGCACCCAAAGTTTTATAGTCGTTTATGAGCCAGTCGTTTTCATGTAAGATATTTTATACCTTCACCGCCGGTACGTGACATGGCAATCAAAAACTCTTCCAAGACTACAAAAAGCATTCTTCTTTTGGTCACTGCTTTTCTTTAGTCTTTTTGATTTGTAAGGTCTTCCTTCAATGAACGGGACACAAGTAGACATTATTATTCAGTTCTCTAGGACAAACAGTTTTCATCAGAGGCTTTCGATTTTTAATATCACCCATCTATCATGCTGTTTCGCCGTGGTCTCTTAGTCTCTATTTGTAATTGAAAACTAAACCCAGCTTCTCAAGGTACCAAACATGGTTGGCTGTAACATCCAATACAATACAACGATACCGATGTGTGTGGACATGGCTGCGACCAAATGGCACGGAAACGAACATACTCTATATTTATTTTAATTTTATACAATATCATATTACATTTATGGAGCATACTCATCGTCTATAGCCTTTACATTAGCGCTGTACAATCAAAGAGTATATCTGAACTGCAAGAGGTTTGACTCTCGTGGTTTTGTTGGAACGTAATCCTATTTCAAAATGTACTACCACGAAGGGGCGTGTCCCGAGGCGCCCTTTAAAAGACGAGTTTCGAGCTAACTCTATTTGAATTCTAATGGGACGCCCCTATCTCGTGGTAGTATTTTTTTAACGTTTTGTCTGCGTTTCATTGTTTGCATATACAATGAGGGCAGTCAGACCTCTTAATTTTTAGAGTTCCTATATAGAGTTAATAATTTTATACTCTTTGGTACAATATACTGAAAATAACACTGTGCTGCCACCAACCACCAAAGATTATCCAAAGTTTTATAGTCGTAGTAAGCCAGACGGTCTGATGTAGTATTTTATTTAAAATAGGCCTATATCACAGGGCAAAGTGCGGCCCGACAGCGATTTTTTTGCGGACCGCGAAAATGAATTAAAAAACCTTATGTGTGCGGTCCGCCAAGCAACATTGCTTAGATAACACCTTGTTTTTGACGGACTGACACCGACCACATGTAAAAAGTAACATTAAAAAAGCAGTGATTGGACTTTTTGGAAACTTACTGGAAAGATCAAAGTTTGGGTGCGGCCATCGGTGTAAAATCAAAAATTCACTTTGACCCTCCGATCGATTTTTATGCCCACCCTTGAAGTATACCATAAAACTTCTAATAACAACCCTGGGTTACTCTTCTTTGACTGTGTTTTAGGGTGGGTTACTATTAGGGCCTACTAAGCTTAACATAGGCACTTGAAATAGTAAACCCCTACCCACCCCCAGCTTTCGCGCCAGCAATTCATAGAAATAAATAATTAGGCCTACAGTACAAATAAAAAAAACTGTTGATTTAATTTTATTTATAAGTTCAAGAAAGGAACATCAAAGAATATATTGCACTCCAAGTTAAGTTGCATATAGGCCTATCACATATGAACGTCCATGTATGTATTCTTTTATATACATGATTCATGTGGGCTTGTACCGTAGGGCAATATGTATTTGCATTTTTATAGTGCGTACGAC